TAGTTTCTCAGTGTTGTGCTTTAAACCACTGCACCACCAGGGAGGGCCATATAATCTCTTTTCTTTATAAATAAATCTTTTTCCATTCTTGTTGGCTGTTTTGTTTTCTTATATTCTCTTCTAGAGCTCATAACTTCTTATATTCTCTTCTAGTGCCTTAACAGAGTTCAAAAAGCGGCTATCTGTCTAGCTGTTAAGAAAGTTAATAAGATTAATTCCTTTATCTTTAGGTTTGCTTGCTTGATTTTGGTCCTCTTGTTTAATAATAAAAAAAGGGGGAACCTCTCTTTTCATTCTGTTAATCATGAAGACTTTTTTTTAAGCTAGTGTAGGCTGTTTTCTGAGGATAGTCAATAGTAAACATGCTATAAATGTATATGCATCGACAAATGAAGATGAAGATACATGCGTCAGGGCCCTGTTTGGTGGCACAATGGGTTAGGACCCAGCACTGCAGGCTGGCCACCGCCTCAGTGCGAGTTCAATTCCCCACCCTGGGGTGACTGACATGGCTTAGCAGACCTCTCCTGACCTACCCGCTTCTCTCTGCAGTGCACCTTGTCAATCTGCCTGTTATGCTCCCCACTCCATCTCTGGTGAAGCCTCTCACAGATCCTGCACCTCTGGCTTGTACCCCAGCTCTGTATGCATAAATAAATAAATCTTTAAAAAGAAAAAAAAAGATAAATGCTTCAAACAATATTTGTTTGAAAGGGATATGAGACTCAGGGAGGGTCTAAGCTGTATTTTTTTAAGTTTAGATTTTTCCTGGCATAGCTCATGTGCCAGCAGGATGGATCTAAATATGTAAATATATAAGTATGTACAAGTCCTTATAGAAAGAACATTATTTATTACTAACTCCTAGAACCATAGCCTCCAAGCTTCCTTAGAAAAGGTCACTTTTTAATGATTTGGGTCCTTGGCTCAAAGAGGGAAGAGGAGATTTCCAAGAGACACAAGGGGTTAAGTCTCAGCACTGTGAAGCTATCAGCAGACACTGAAGCATGAGTTTAATCCCAGGGCAGGGAGCTGACCCACAAGCAGACATCTCCTGTTTTGCCCACTGCTCCCCTCATCAAAGTATTTCAGTGTATCTACCTCCAACCTCTGGCCTACACCACAGCTCTTGTATGCATAAATAAATAAACAAATCTTTAAAAAAAAAGGAGGGAAGAACTTCGAAAGAGTTCGAAGATAAAGAGAGTTGAAGTATCAAACCTGATCCAAGAACAAAGATCAGGATGGAAAGGAAGGGAAAGAGAGTTGAATTCAAAATTTTGGGTGATTTGATTCTGGAAACTGAGGGTACCCCAAATCAGTGAGAGGCAAAGATGAACCACTGGCAGAAAAGTATGAATGACCTCAGGAAGGGTAGCAGTGTTGAAGAATCAACAAATTAGCCAAGGACATGAAGAGTGATGGGAAGTGAACAGGAAGAGTAGGAAGTTCATGGCCCTACTCTATGAGTCATCTGGGCCTCATAGCCCAGTAATTTTTAAATAAGGCACAAAACAGAAAATTAGTGTTTTGTTAGTGTCAAAGTAAATCAACTATCATAGTCCAGTCTATCACTTGGAATGTTTTAAATAAAACCTTTTTCTCAATTTCACTGTACGCTCATTATAAAATGCTCTTGTTCCACTTGCTCTGTAGTCCTAGCAGTGAGAAAGCAGATCTACTCTTGAGGAAAATAAAGAAAACAATCCTTTTGCATCATAATTGACAATAAAATAGGATATTCTACTCTATTCTTTTATCACTATGTCATGTCTCTGCACGCCACAACATAGTTCAAGACAAGAAACAAATTCTTACACTTTCTTTAGTATTAAAGATAGCATCTTTTCACGCATTTTAAAATTTAGTCATTATTTAATAATGTTGCAAATAACTTCTACTAAAGCAAAATTCCATAGTGCACAAAGGAATTATAAAGCTGTCTAGGTGAAATTCTGTATTCTTTATATAATGTAAATATGAATAAAATCAATTTTAGTTGACCTTTTTAGGTGGTACAATCATAATTTCCTTGTAATTTTTGTTTTTCATTAGAATTTGATCTTCATTTTTTGGCCAACACATACTATATATTCATCCTACAAAATTTTCTGTTTCCTATTCCTATAGCAAGTATACTATATTCCACACAGCTTCTGCTTTTGTAAGACTTCAAACAATAGTATATTTGGAAGATTGGTAAAAACTTACTGACTTATTCTCAACTGTGTGGTCACCTAAAGTCTTTTAAACTAACAGTTCTTCAGTTGAATTTTTTTTAAATTTTGGTTTTAAAGATTATTTTAAAGGAATATAGATGTTTCCTCTTATAACAGCAGCATGATACACTATAAAAATTAAAGACTCATGAGTAAAACCATTTGTGTTAAGTTCATCTTTATCACTAATTAGTTATGTGTACTTAGCCAGGTTACTTAGATTCTCTGTCTTCTGCTTTCTAATTTGTTTAATGAGAATGATAGTAGTTCCTGTCTCCTAGGATTATTGTAAATAATGAGTTAATATTTGTCAGGTATTTGGAAAATATACATTTTAAAATGTTAGTCTTTAAAAAAAAATTCAGCCTTGGCTAGAATTTATAGTGTGAATTATAAGTGGTGAATTGGGCATATAATAAACATTGAACATCTTTATCTTTTTGAAATTGTTTTTTCCACATTTAATAACTTTTTACATTTTAATAGCACTTGTAATTTGCTATTTATAATTGTATGTTTTCTTAAAAGAAATACACTTGCATTTTATCAAGTTATTTGGAATATATTAGGAAGTTATCTCACTATTCCAATATTGAATCATTTGTAAATTCCTAGAATAAATGCCAATTGTTGAATTAATCTTTTTTTTGTTTGTTTCTATATTCCACTAAAGTTTCAATGAACTTATGTGATTTTCTTTTCTTTTTTTTTTTGCAACTTTTATTAGTGCTTTAGAGCATTATACCATTCATTAAATGGCTAGAAAAATGTTTCATCTTTTGAAGAGTTCATAGAGTGTGGAATAAAATGTTCCTTAAGAGTGTACATTTTTAATAACCAATTCCAAATACCTGATGAAAACAAGATATTTGCTCATCTAAACAATAGTACTTTATTTCCTGCCAAAGGACATAGGCTGAAGCATCAGACCAAATTAGGCTCACATCTGAACTTCACCACCCACTAGCTAAATGTGCATATACTTGGCAAGGTGCACTTTTTTTTTTTAAGGTTCATTTATTTATGCATACAGAACTGGGGTACAGGCCAAAGATGCAGGGGCAGTGAGAGGATTCACCAAAGACAGTGGGGTGAAGAACAGGCAGATCGATGAAGAACACTGCTGAGGGGAGCAGCGGGAGGGTCAAGAGAGGTCTGCTGTTCCATGTGGGTCACCTCCAGGGCAGGAATCAAGCTCACACTGAAGTGGCTTTAGCTTCTTAGTGCTGTGCTTTAACCCACTGAGCCACTAGGGAAGGTTCCAGCAAGTTGTACTTTTATCACAGAGAATAACCATACACCCTGATCTTCATCACTCAGAGTTAGTATGTGGTTTTATAAAGTTATGTTCATAATCACAGTAAGTTCTAACCATATTAAAGATTCATAGGTTATTTTACATGCTAGTTTTAATTTTCCTTAAATACAAAATTAATTTTTGTGATTTTACTTGTCACTTTTTTATTAGGGAGTTTTAAGTTTATATAAAAATGTAAATGCTTTTGATAAATTTATTTATGTGAAATTACTTCATAAGTAAAGGTAATTTCAATTAACCCATTATTCATTTCATATAAATTTAAAATTTGACACAAATTAAGAATACTCTGATAAGGAAAGAAAATGAACCCCTCGCCATTATCTAAGTGAAATCACAATGTGTAAATTGGAAAATTGTACTCGTTTTGAAGAAACCAGGCAATGAGCCTAAACCGAATTTAATGTCTTCTACTCTTTCCTGTTCCCTTGGAGCTTTGTTCTCAAGGGAATCAGAGTGGGTGGAGAATGCTAGAAGCTTCACACAAGCTGGGAATTACTATGTGTTCTCTGATCTGCAATAAGAGAGCAAAGCTTTCACTCAGGGTCAGAAAAAACAGTGCTAAGGAATTGAAGCATTCACAAATACAAATTCTACCAACATAGTAAACATTTTGTGAAATATGAATATGATTGCAGTTGAATATAGCCACACTTTTAAAGGAAATAAAATTTGTGAATATAGTATATGTACATATAGGTGAGTATATACAGAGATCTACTATATTTACATACACCTGAGCAAATGGGTAGCATTTATATATATTGTAAAATTCATATTTATGTATATATAAAAATTGCCATGCAGGTCCTTCCTCATAGGATTAAATCTCAGTGCTATCACTCCCCAGCCAAGGAGCTAATCCACAAGGCACAACAGACCTCTCCTGTCTCACCCTCTGCACTTTTTGCATACAATTCTTGTATGCAAAAATAAATAAAATAAATCTTAATTTTTTTAATTTCCATGCATATCTTTATATATGTTACACAAAGAAATGGGTTTCTCAAAAAAATAGTTAATATTTATGTTCACCAATCAGTATCATGAAGAATATTTACTTGTATATACTGATTATAACACTATTACTATGGTCTCTAAGGAGTATAATATTAGAAGAAGAGTTAAGTTTATAAAATCTGATAGACATTATTCTGATTTTATCTTCTGTTTCAAGGGCCATAAAGGTCAAGACATTTTGGTGGGCCAGCTTCCTATGCTGAGTATAATTTAAAGAAGCACAACTAAAAATGAAAATATCAAAACAAGTTTGGTTTCTTGGCAGACAGAGAATGGAAAGGTGATTCAACTTCTCAGCATGCATTATGTGTTATTAATTGGACAATAACAATAGATACTATTAAGCTTTAATTTAACTGTGCTGATTTGTGTTCTGAAAATAAAGACTTCCCACCCTATTTTTAGACATACTCAACAATACGATGGATCAAAAGTATACCTACCACTATCTTTTCTCCTCCTGTGTGGATTTAATAAGTCAGTGATTTCCAGCTTCCCCCAGATTTCTCTTGATTAAATTCTTCAGAATTCCATGACCCCTGAAGGAAACACAGTTGAAGAAAAGATTAAGATGAGCATCTCTCATTCCTTGTCTTGCAGAAAAGAACAAATAGTTCCTTGGGCAAAAACATCCAATTAAGTGACAAAATGTCAGACAACTGTGAAACAACATTCATTGACATTCTTTCATTCCTTGTCCTGGTGTTTTTCTTTTCTGCTTCTCTGATTTATAGGAGGAGCAGGATAAAATTCCTTGAATGAGCAGTTCAATATTCCTTATAAATGGGGAGTGTATTTCTTTCTTATTATTGGCATTTTGTCCATCATTCAAACACATTAATTGTATTCTGTGCAAGCTTTCTTGCAGTTTTCTCTAAAAACTATGTAAAGCAGCGTGATTTTAGCTCTAAATAACAAAATGAAATATAGAACAAACTATGGTTTTTTTCTTCATCTTTAAAATTCTACTAGAAATAGTTTCGAAAATTGAGTGTCAACCCCTTCTCAAATGTAACTTAAAAACAACACATCCCTGCAGCAGTTCATTTAGGAATTTCAATGCCAAGGAGTGACGACATTGTTTTTCTCAATTATACAATATGGTGATTGAAATTCTGAAGAGAAATTAACCTAATATAATCCAGCCCACACTTGATACCTCAGCATCAAGGGAAAGTTGGAAATTTGGTATTAGTAGGCTTTAGGACAACTTGTGTATTTTCCCATTCATATTATTGTGCATATTTGTATCTAAAGCCCCATTTTAAAACTAAGTTCAGAAAACAGTTTATTTTCATTTCCATGTCTACTCCTTACAGAGATGACTTTAAATATCATTAGGCAAGCCAGGTTCCCTTTCACTACACATTTGAGTAGACACATAGTAACTGCTTGGTTGTCCCAGATGAGGAAGTATGTTTTACGTTAATCAGATAATCTGTGACTTTTACTCCAAAGTACTGGAGCCAGCATGTGAATATCCCTATGCCCTTCTGTGATGTAAACAGAGAGATTTCAGTTTTGTATTATGTATTAAAGAAGCAGTGCTGTCTATCTACTCTCCTCTCTTCCTTTTCCATAAGCTTCCAAATTCCATCTATTATAGGTAAAAGTCCCTCAGGTCATTCTTCTGTCCAGTCCCATACCTTAGGACACTAACTAGTTTGTTTGATTCTCCTCTCCCAGGCCATCCTCCACCCCATGAAGGTTTTACCTCTTTCACTATGCTCCCTGGTTTGAGACAATCCCTTTCCGTCCATGTTCTATGCAACATTGTTGGATATGTAAGTTTTAATTTGTGTAAAACCCAAGAAAATATGTAGTAGACATATTTCACCATTATTCACAAAATACACATTTCCTCCAAATGCCAGCAACATTATGCCATTCATTCTTTTAAATTATTTTTTTAAAAACTTTATTACTCTCCCCTTTCCTTTGCTTCTGACAATTTTGCACAGCTCATAAGCCAGTCAGTAAGGGGGAGCCTTGGGAGCATTATACTATGAGGCAAAAACATCAAGGTGAGTTCTAGTTCCAGTTCATACATTTATCAGCTGTTGGGATTGATATCCATTTATCAGCTGTCGATATTCATCCTCTTGTACAAATTACACATCCTTTCCTATAAAATGGGGATGAAAAATGTATCTGGCCTCTCTCTCCAGTTTGCTCTAGGAATCAAGAAGGATCATATACAATGAAATATCAGTTCCCTCAAGAACTGCAAAAGAAAAACTGCTTCCTTTGTTTAACGACTAGATTCACGTGGGGATGCTAGAAAGGTACTGTGATCACACTCCTAAGTCTTACAGCTTCCTTTTGGGAATGTGATGTTCTAAAGAGTTTTGTTTTGACGTCCAAAAGAGGTAAAAAAACAAACAAGCAAAAAACCCAAAGTAGTCATCCTCGATATATTTGGATTTCCAAGACATGCTGAATATAAAAGGGAATGAAAAGGAAAAAAGGGCTCAAAGTCACAAATCTTAGTTGGCTTATTTATTTATTTATTTATTTATTTATTTTTGCTTAATTAAAATAATCAAATTGTCATTTGTGGCACAAATATTAGTACGATCTCCTTAAAACCCAGTTAATCACTTTAGATATTACTGGACACTTTCCAGAGGAAGCATATACCTACTGCCTACCACTGTGTTGTAGGTATTTGTAGGTATTTAATTAGCGTGGAATTAGTAAGCAAAGATGTTTGTTTTGCTTCTAAAGAAAAAAATAAATGCATCAAGCAAATATCATTTCATAAATAAGCAACACTAGAACCTAAAATATAGGAAAATTTTCACTTTTTACTAAAAAAAATGTATATTATGAACTCGTGCATCTAAAGCCAACAAAAGTGTAGGAATAAAGTTTAGAATGAGAAAAGCAGATGCTGGGGGGAAAATCCAGATATGTTTTCTTAAAATTTGGTGAAATGAATGTTATTTGGAGTTCACAAAGTTTAAATTTTCCTTTGAATTAGATAGGTGCAACTAGGTAAAGATAAAAAACCCTCAATAAATGAAGCATAATTTTTAAATCTGAAATTTATTTTCCCATATTAAAAGGGATCTGTGAATTTCCCATATTAAAAGGGATCTGTTCATTCATACATTCTGATAGTAAAAAAACATTAATCCATTAATTACTAAGTGCCTCGCCAGCATGAGCTCTTGTATAAGATGTGAAAGAAAATATGTGCTGGTTTGGACCATCAGGCACATGTGATTGGCCACAAATGTTCAAAGAATTGCACAAACAAGCCACATAAGACACATACCATTTCTTGTCTAAAAGGTACATTCCCCTGTGTCTATCGGACTCTGGCCCACCCATAAAGACCCAACTCAAATGCTTCTTCTTCTGTGAAGGTCTTTGGAACTGCTCCAATATGTTATTATTAATCAAACTCTCTCAAGCATTTATCATGGCCAACTCTGCATGACATCTGTGTACATGACACTCTTCACTAGCAACCTATGAAAAGGATTTCTTCACCCACATACACAATTTAGCATGATATAATGTAGGTACTCAGTGATTACTGAATGGAAAATCATACATCTTACATGAATAAAAGGTGTATCATAAATTTAAAATAAACATTTCCAAACATATTATTCTCATATTATAAAAAGTAAGTTTACATTTTTGTAAAAAGTATGGAAAACACAAGTGTTCATTTATGACAGTGTTCACAACATAATTAAAATTAATTTAATCAAAGTTTTTTATTTATCTTCACTTGTTTCCCCCTCATTGGCCCTTAATCTATATTTTCTTTATTTTTCATACTATATATACTTAATTACAACTATCAGTTTAAAATGGTCTACCAACCAGATCCTTATAAACTGCCACATTTGAAGAGATTTAAGTTGTTGTATGTACATAAAATTGCAAATATCCTGTCATTCATTTATTCATTCACTCATTTGTTCATTAATTCAGCAGTTGTCTGCAATGTGGTAGGTAACATGGAAGAAATATGGACCCTGTATGAGGTAAAAGAAGGGTTACAACTAGATTAGTTAATAAGAAATACACAACCAAAACCAGTATTTCATCTAGATGGCGTACCTTTAACTTATCCAAAATATTAATTCAAAAAGTTTTGAGTGAAGTCTGAGTACTTAAAGAATGCATTAAAAGAAATTCATAAAAATAACTAAGAGGCCTTCCCTGGTGCACAGCGGGCTAAATCTCATTATTGCAAGCGAGCTGCAGTTGCTTCAGTGTGAGTTCTATCTCCAGCCCCAGAGCTGACCCACATGGAGCCTCAGACCTCTCCTGACCCACCCGCTGCTCCCCTCAGCAGTGTACTTGTTAGTCTGCCTGTTCTGCTCCCTACTCTGTCTCTGGTGAATCCTTTCACCGCCCCTGCACCTCTGGTCTGTACCCCAGTTCTGTATGTATAAATAAATAAAGCTTTAAAAATTGCAAACATTTACAAAATGATGTAAAAATAAACTTTTGTAATAATTAAGCAAAAAAATTGCAAACATTTAAAAATAAATAAGTAAAATGACTAAGAAATGTATTCATGTTTCAGATAGTAGTTACGGCATCCAGAGTAGGGCCTTCACTGATGGTGCAATGGGTTAAAGCACAGCACTGTGAAGCTGGCAGCAGTCATTTCGGTGAGAGTTTGATCCCAGGGTAGGGAGATAACCCACATGGCATGACAGATCTCCCCTGACCCACCTGCTGCTCCCCTCAGCAGTGTATTTCATCAATATGCCTGTTCTGCTCCCCACTCTGGCTCTGGTGAATCCTCTCTCACTGCCCCTGCGCCTCTAGCCAGTATCCTATTTCTGCATGCATAAATAAATCTTAAAAAAAAAAAAAAGACATTCAGAGTAATTGTCTTCTTAGACTCAAGTTGATAGCTTAGGTAGTTGTAATAAGTAAAAATCAGGTTTTCTAATTAAAAATAAAGTGCTGCATTATACATTTAGACAGCAATTTGGCAAAGCTGACCCAAAATGTTAAAAATATTGTCAAACTTTGACCCAATCATTCCACTGTGAAACCTCCTTGACTCTTCAGAAACCCAAGATAACCCTCTTCTGACTCGTTGCTGTTGGGAGGGAGAGGAGATTAAAGGATTTTAACATTCAGAAACACCTGTTCTATGTCATAAGCCTTGCTAGACACTTTACATTTTAACCCCTTTAAACATCACATTCCACCACACAGCACTTCTTTTGACGCTTGGAGATGGTGAGATACAGCTCTAAGGTCACAAACAGTAAATCACAGTGCTAGCACTCACGTTCAGCTCTGTCTGACTCTAAAACCTGTGACTAGCCCCAAGACCTCTCACAATATTCTTGGATTATGACCTGGTTGTTATAAAACTTCTCTCCAGTATTACTTTGCTGTTATGACAGAATAGCAGTTCTTGATTATGTTGCTTCAAATCTTAAAGCTCTAAAAAATAAGAATTTTTGAGAATTGGAAACAGTTTATTTGTTCATTTCCTCTAATTTTTGTTTTAACCATTTCCTTTTCTTCCACATCGCATATAGCAAAGCTA